TGGAAAAAAAATAGAGTACACATACGTTTGTGTGTGTGTGTGTGTGTGTGTGTGTGTGTGTGTGTGTGTGTGTGTGTGTGTGCGCTTACATCTGAGATCAAATTTGCTACAGTGAAAAACCCCCTGTTGTGAAAAATTTCTTGCTGCAAACATGATTTCGTTGTAGAGGAGTTTCACTGTATGTTAGAATATTTTTTTGACAGAACTAATTGTTATGACGTCACGCGACTGGCAACAGTGTGAAGAAGAAGGAGGAGCTAGACATGAGAGACAGATGAGGCCAGCTCACTGTCACGATACAGGGTGGTGGTGGACCCCAAAAAACAGGCAGGAGGGAGGAGCAGGGTGTACTTGAAAGATTGTATTAAAACTCAGAGAAAACGAAATCCAAAACAAACAAAGTCCAAAGTATCAAACAAAACACGTGACTGAAGATAAAACATAACACTGACCAAAACATGACTGAAACAAACATGACAGCAAACAAACATGACAGTAGCACAAAGCAACAATGACCCGACCAAGATTGTTCGGGCTGGGAGTCCTTTTAAAGCCACTAATTACCTAATGACCAACAGGTGTGCAGCTGCAGGGGAGCCCTACAGTGCCACCTGTTGGTCCCAAACCGAATCATGACACTCACGCCTGAAGCGATATAGTTTTTTGACCAAACAAATTAAGACAAACAAACAAAGAGCACCTTTTTTTGAATAATTTTCTTCTTTAATAAATAGAAAATACAAAGAAGTCTTGTTTGCGTTCAAGACTTGTCGTTATGCTGGCCTCAAAGGTGTTACATCTTGGCGGAATAGCACTGACACTTATGATGAATAACTATAATGAAATGGTTTTCCCCTTGCCCGTACATGGGTCACCAGGGCCCCCCTCTGGAGCCATGCCTGTAGGTGAGCCTTGTAGGCCAACATATGGTTGTTGGGTATGCCCCCATGGGGGTCGGCCGGGCTCAGCCCTAAAGGACAACTTCTCATGGAACCACCATCTGTGAGAGGGGACATAGGAGTCAGGTGTGATACAAGCTGGACGGCAGCCAAAGTGACATTGGCAGTCTGATCTATAGCTATAAAAGCTGGCTCTAGGTATGTAGAATGTCACCTCTCGAGCAGAGAAGGAGCCCAAGTTGCTGTGCGAATTCGAGAAGTTCTGATTAGATATAGGCAGGCTCGCGTCGACACAGGGCTTCAGATCTGCTACTAGTCCTCTTGAGAGGGGTTCGATTCTCCCACTCTGGAGCTGCCCACAGTGAGAGGTGTCAAGCAGGTGCGGGCATACTTGTTACCCCCTGGCTAACCAACTACTTGTTCACCACAGTGGACAAGAGGATAGCCTTGTGGCGGGAGACGTGTCCAGGCAGTTGTTTGTGTTTATGCACCAAACGATTCAAGTACCCACCCTTTTTGGAGACCTGGGATGGGGTGCTGGAGAGTGCTCCTTGTGGGGACGCCATTGTTTTGCCGAGGGACTTCAGTGGTTATGTAATGATTGGGAGGAACAGACCCCCACGATCAGAACCTGAGTTGTGTTCTGTTACTGGACCTCTGTGCTTGTCACGGATTGTCCATAACAACCACCATGTTCAAAAATATGATCACTAGGAACCTGGATACGCAAGGCTGCTGTTCGATGAACGACAACAACAACTTCCACATGGCTTCGAGGACATTTTGGTCCATGATCCGGCATCTCAGAAGTGGGAAGCAGTGAACCATCAACACTGTATATAGTGGATATGGGACGCTGCTGACCTTGACTCACAATGTTGTAAATTGGTGGGGAGAATACCTGGAAGACCTCCTCAATTCCACCTACATGCTGTCCTTTGGGGTAGCAGAGGACAAAACTATGATATGTCAGGATGGGTGTGAATACACTGCTGTCTTAAGAAATTGTGAGCATGTCTTTGTCGTTCACAGGATGTCATATACATGTATGTATGGATTATATATCATTTAGTCAAGAAGCAGACCTTAATGTTTTACTTGGCTGAATAAAATTCTCATTCTTGATTTTATCTTAGCCCTAGCAGTTGAAGAGAGAGCCCGACAGCTGCATATGAAAGTACATTCCTACCGGCCTTCAGCTTCCCATAACCCTGAGTCAGATCTCAAGAATAAACGGGAGGTAATCCTGCTTTTTGTTCATCTTCATTAGAAAATCCAATTAATGTGCAATCTCTAAAACAGAATACAATCAAATTTCAACATGTTTTCTTTTAAATCTATCTAGACACAATTCACCTCAGCATGTGAGGTAATGCAGATTGTATTGTTTTATCTTACCATTAACAAGTATTTTACTTTACTTTGAAATATTACAGTGAACAACAGCTACTTCTATAATGGGCCAGAGATCGCCCAAGCTTGTGTTTACACTTGAGAGAGTCACCTTTAAATTATACCTCTATGCTTCCTTTTCTTAGATGTTTGCAGAACAGCGACGTAGCAGCGACAACATGTCTGCAAGGTCGTCAGACAGTGATATGAGTGATATGTCAGCTCTCTCCCGTGCCAGCAGTGCCTCTCGCCTCAGTAGCACCAGCTACATGTCTATCCAGTCAGAGCGTCCGGGGGGACGTCTTAGGTCAGTCACTTTGTTAAGTCATGTATTGATTACATTTTTCAAATCTTAGTTATGTTCGACTACGGAACAGTGGAACCTCGAGTTACAAACAAACCATTGTACGAACTTTTCAAGTTTCGCAAGCATTTTTTGGTCGAAAAGCTGCCTCTTCTTATGTACGTTTCTTCATGCAAACTGACTTAGCATTGATGAACAGACGGATCAGTGCAGTGCTTCTTTCTTCATAGGCTCTGCGCATAAGTCATTGATATCATCATTATCCTGGGTTTTTTTTCGTCTTAAGAATGACTAATAGGTTAGTTACTGTTGTCTTTAAACACCCCCAAAAACATAAACAAACTTGAAGTTCGCTGCGTGACTGCAGATTGAGATAAAGCTGTTGTTTGTTCAGCCGTTCCGCTTACACTCTCTCTCTCTCACACACACACACACACACACACACACACACACACATACACACACCCAAATCAGCATCTCCAAATCTGAAACAATAGTCCTCAGAAAAGCGTGGAGTGCCCTCTCCGGGTCGGAGATGAGATCTTGCCCGAAGTGAAGAAGTTTAAGTGTCTTGGGGTCTTGTTCACGAGGGAGGGCAGGATGGGGGCGGTTCAGTGCAGCGTCTGCTGTGATGCGGACTTTGTCTCGGTCTGTCGTGGTGAAGAAGGAGCTGACCCAAAAGGTGTAACTCTTGATTTACTGGTCAATCTACGTTCCTACCCTCATCTATGGTCATGGGCTGTGGGTCGTGACCGAAAGAAAGAGATCCCGGATACAAGCGGCCGAAATGAGATTCCTCCACGGGGTGTCCGGGCTGTTTCTTATAGGTAAGGTGAGAAGCGTGGTCATCCGGTGGGTGCTCAGAGTCAAGCCGCTTCTCCTTCATGTAGGTGGGAGCCAGGTGAGGTGGCTCGAGCATCTGATTAGGATGCCTCCTGGATCCTAGAGGCCTCGAGGATGACCCAGGACACACAGGAGAGACTATGTCTCCCGGCTGGCCTGGGAATGCCTTGGGATGCCCTGGGTAGAGCTGGAAGAAGTGGCAGGGGAGACAGAAGTTTGGGCTTCCCTGCTCAGGTCGTTGCCCCCACGAACCGACCCTGGATAAGTTGTCGAGAATGATTGGATAGACAGATTGATGGTTGGGGCTGAAACGGATTAATTGCATTACCATTCATATGAATGGGAACATTTATCTCGATTTACAAACATTTCGAGTTACAAACAAGGTCACGGAGGTTTGTAACTTGAGGTACCACTGTATCATGTTTGAAAATTAGTGTCAATATGTTTTGTTCGAATTAGCATGTGCTCGGATTTATTGTTTGTAATGTGCATGCTAATGGCTGTGTGTCTTTTCTTTTTTGCATGGCAACTGCTGCATGTTTCTCTCCAACTATATGCACCTCTCTCTGCCACATACAAATATATAACTCAATTAATGGCGGGGTGAAAACAAACTTCACTCAGGTCTAAATCATTAGAAGAGGATAAAAAAGACAGGAGGATCTCATGGGGGGTGACTAGGGAAGAGGAGAGGAAGAGGGCGGCAGGAAAGAGACGTTTCTCAGAGGAATTGAAGCGCAGGAGACACACTGTAGCTGGAGAAACTGAGGAGTCCAGGTAAAAATAAAAAGATCTCAGATGAAAAGAATTCCCTGACTATCTGCCAGTGGAAACCAGGGCAGGTGGAGCCACTGACCTGCTTTCCAATGGAATTATGGGTATGTTATGTTGTGTTCTGTTCAAGGTTCGTATTTAGATTATTGATCCAAAACTTAAGTACTACTTTATTTTAAATCATGAGAATCTTTTAAAATGCATTTAGTGCATATCACTCTATTGTTACTATCTATCTATCTATTTACTTATTTAGTTTGGACCTCTTTTTTATTGTTCCATGCTGGCATCCCTGTATTGAAGTAATTTCTTAATTCATCCAGTCTGACAGTACTCAGATTTGGGCTCTCTCTTTCTCTCTCAGATGAGTAGCTGTAGTATGTTTGACAATGATAAACCTTATACAGTATCAATGGCCCGTAGCATCGAAATTCACTTTTATAAATCATGGAAAAACACACTCTTTATGGCATACATATTCTCAACTGGTATGTTGGTTCACAGTATCTGATCATTATTAGATTATTTTTCTTCTCTCATCCAAGTACAAATTGCCTGATTTGACTATTTTTACATGATTGCATTTGAGATTGTCATGCAATCATGCAGTATTTGTAATAATCACCATTAAGGTTTTGCACAGAGCTTCAGTTGTATCTAAAACATCCCTTTTTACGTTAGTGTATTGATTTCTTTAATAGACATTAAACATGTATTGGTGCTGATTTGCTAATACGAGAGAATAAAATAGACTAAGGCTAAATGGATCAAGAAATCCATGTCTTCCGCAACTATTACCGCTCAATTTTTATTTTTTTTACAACTGATGACAAATAATGACAACAATGAATCAACTACTAATAACAATCAGCTTCCTTGCCTTCCGTGACCCAGTTTGGCATCCGTCACTGTTCATTGCATGCAACCATCTCATCAACCATTTTGTTCAATGCATTTTATGTTTTGTGTTCCAGTAGACTTTGTTTTTGTGTCTGTATGTTTGTTCAGCGCACATCTCAGATCCTTCATTGCATGCGTCCTGTGCTGTGACAACCCGGACCCCCTCCATCCTCCAGAGCAGGATCCCCTTCCATCTACTCCCTCGGCTGCACAGCATGCCTTAACCTCCATGTGTAGTAGAGTAGAAAGACTGAGAGTCAGTATTCCAGTACTTCCTGTAAGCCATTCTATCACATCAGCCAGCGGTCCAGACAGAAGAGATGTTGATGGTGATGGGCGCAGCATGTCCAGGCTTTCCTGTAGCACACTGAGTCCATCTGAGGGCATTGACTTGCAGTGGCTCATCCCAACCCGGCGTCAAGCACTCAGTTGCTTGTGCCCATGTAAAGCAGCTTGTTTGAGCAGAATGAATTTAAACACACAATAAAAAAAAATATATATATGTGCAATTGACAGTGTTAACTTTGTTGCACTGCTGGTAAACTTTGGTGAACTGGTAAACTATGTATTTGCCCTCTGACGTCTTAACTGACTGCGCCATTACTGTTATAGCATACTCAAAAACAGGTGACAGATTTAATTGTCGTGTAGCATATGCCAATGATCAGTTTTTGTTTTTTTTGGGGGGGGGGGGCAATAGTACCTGTTTGACTTCAGGGTCAAAAAGGAAGCAGAAGCCTTATCCCATCATGTGTGCCACTTTAAAATGTTACCAACTAACTTTTTTCAGTGAAGGTACAGTAAAATACAGATACTTCAGTATGTCAAACTTTGGAACATCCCGTGACATCCAGATGAGGGACACTCAGTGTCTTTTTTTTCTTCAGTCGACAGATGAGAGCATCGGCGGGACGCAACATGCAGAAGAGCTCCAGTGTTAGTGGGGAGATCTACACGCAGGAGCGCACCGATGGCAGCCAGTCAGACACAGCACTTGGCACAGTGGGCGGAGGCAGCAAGAAGAGACGCTCAAGCCTCAGTGCAAGAGTGGTGGCCATTGTTGGAAACCGCCGCAGTCGTAGCACTTCACAGATAAGTGGCCCTGGTGAGTTGCTCCGGCAAATGTTAACTCAAAAATGATGGTATGCTAAATTGTTCATGACATTGTTTCTAATGTATGTCTAGGATACTGTGACACCACCAAAAATCATTTGCACTTCTTGGTGGTGGGATGAAAAATAAAAGAAAATAAATAGCTGTCTTTATTTTAAGATTTAAAGAGAATGACATCAAGTATTTAAAACGTTGTGATTCAATTGCTAAGGAGCTTTTAAGATAAGATAAGAAAAATTTTATGTGTCTCACAATGGAGAAATTCCCACTTTTCTGAACTTTGTTGTGTTTCAGCTGTCCAAACTGATCTGTTTGGTACTTTTCATCTGCCACATTTTAATTATACACGATGCACTTTTTATTGGGTCGACTCCAACATTCAGACCCCAAAACACCTGTGCCCACACAAAAAAAACATGTTGCACAACAAAAATGATTTGTCCTGGGGAGCAGACTGTACTGTGAAGAACCAATAATTGCAAATGTCCTTTTATTCTGTTCATCCCGGTTCGTCCCGGTGCACATTATCAAAAAAACAAAACAAACACAAAAATGATGTGGTTTGGAAACTTAAGGGAACATTGTGGACAGCTGAGAGCCCTCAGAGCTCAGCTCCCAGTCACACATTAAACTTGCCACTCTGAATCCAACTCCCATTCGGACAGGCTCACCATGAAAGCCTAGCACTGCCTTCTCTTTCTTTGGATCAGACATAAAAGCTATTTGAGCGCACTAGGCCTGAAGGGGTGTGTCTCGTCTTTTGTCACTGAAGCAGAGTGGAGAGATAGGAAGTCGAGATTTTAAAAAGATGGAGCGATGTATGTAGCTCACTGCAAAAAAAAAAAAAAAAAAGAATTTGGTCCGTGTTGTATTTTGGATCAGAGCAAAGGCAGGTAAGGAGTATCTCCAATTAATTTTCCCAGTTTTGGTACAAGATAAATTTTTCTACATTTTTTCCCCCTTTCTACCAATATAAGGAGTCATACGAGATGCTGCATGTCGTCATTCGGGTGTTTTTCTACCAAGCAATTTCCTGTTTACTACTAACTACTGGATGGAGGTGGTAAATGTACACGAGTACAACTTCGGGAATGCATCACACGTACACATAACAGAATACTGAACTCCTTTTGTAGTCTGCGATAGTGCTATATGTCTACACTGGCAGAGTCTGGGATGCGACAATTGCTCTTTTCTTGCAACCACATGATGAAAAAATATATTAGTTTTTCTTTATATTCTAATGTGCCGTATTAAACATTAAGTGGAAGCATAATGTTTGAAATTAAAAAAACATATTTGGAGGCTGCTAAAAGGATTTGTAAGAAAGGTTTCTACTTTCTCTCTTGCTTTTTTTTTTTCCCCTCCCAGAGGCAAAGACTAAGAAGGAGAAAGGAGCACCCATCCAGCGGAGCACAGAGACTGGCATGGCGGTGGAGCTGACCAGGAACATGAGCCGGCAGCCCAGCAGAGAGTCCAACAATGGCAGTATGAACAGCTATAACTCTGAGGGGAAGTTAGTAACTTTTTGAAATATTTTTCTATCACGCTTTACAATCAGTGCACCCTTACCATGATACAAGATACTTTTTCAGACATTGTTCAGACAGTGCTCAGACTTAAAGTCACAAACAGTTCGAGAAAATCAGTGAACTCACATCCTGTCAGACATCCGGAAAGAATAGAATTGGATTCAGAAAGAATGAACAAAAATATTTCTTCCAGAAAAAGCAGGTCACAATACCGACAAAGTATAATGGCTGGTACAACACCAGACTAATAAGTGAACCAAAAATGCTTGCAAGAAAATAGACAAGAAAAATCCAAAACACGTACAATAATCAAACCCACGACTAACATTAACTACAAAAAACAACTAGGCAGAGTACTAGGCAGTTATAGAAAACATGAACGGTGGAACGTCGAGAAGATTTTGTGGCTTGGAAGCAGAGCTGTGGGCAAGGTGAATTTTCCGACAGACATGAAGACAGAGAACTCCTTAAATAGTCGGCTTGCGACGAGCAACAGGTGTGTGACCCGGAGGAGAGGCCCTACTCTGCCACCTGCTGGAGATACACGAGAACACAACATGCAAACATTTTATCTCAATGACACAATGGAGTTCATTTGTAAGGTTGAATGCCTTCTTAAACTACACGGCTTTTTTGACGTTGACGACGGTCGTTCTGTCAGACAACCAGACAAATATCGTTCTGTGTCTTGGACCGGTTGAGACGTCACACTAGAAGTCCTTCACCGAACAAAAGGCTGTCAAAATCATGCCGATGGAGGCATTAGATATCGCAGAGATGAAAGTCCTCCGGATTTTCCCGGAATTCCGGGTTTTTCACATTTTTATGAAAATCTCTCCGGAGAATTGAGGAAAATTTGCCTAAAATTAATCCGGATATTAATTGACAACACTGAACGAAGACGCGTTTGAGTTCGTTGTTTTGCTTTCACAACCGTAGCCATGTTGAGACACTAACACTAGTAACAGTAGAGATTTTCGTCTCTTTATCAACACATTTGCTAAACCCCAGTGGAACGAATAAAAGACACCGTGGACAAGACAGTTGTCGTAAAAAATATATTTGGACAAAAAGGGAAACACACAGAATGGCAGAAAAACATATCCGTCAGACTTCGAGTGTTGTCTCGGCGAGCTTAGCTTTGCTGTTGTTGTGTGTGACGTCGGGTGTGTGACGTCGTTGCGTCGGCGCTTATTGGTTGAAATCAAAAGACGCGCTTGCGTAC